AGAAGAGGTAATTATTCCCACTCTTTCTCCATTTTACAGCCCAATTTGGCCTGTTTTAAACTTAGAATGAATGGTACCTTATGGCAGATTACCACAACTTAATGCCATGGTCTCACCCATTAAAATAAGACTGAGCATAGGTCAAATGACCAAAGGGTACAAGTTTTCCGTTATGAGTAAATACGCAGGATCTAATGTATAGCATGATGACTATAGTTAATAATAGTATATTCTATACTTGAAATTTTTCTAAGAGAGTGTTCTTATAATACATACACACAAAAAGGTAATTGTGAGGTGATGGATATATTAATTAACTGATGGTGAGAATCATTTCACAGTATACACATGCACACATGTAAAATTACATTGTATATTTTAAATATATACAATTTTATTTGTCAATTATATCTTAATAAAGCTGGGGTAGGGGGAGAAATGACCAACACCATTCCATCTGCCATGGCCAAATACCTTGCTATTATAGATTTGGCTAGTGTATTCTGTTCAGCTCCTATTTCAACAACCTTTCAGTTCACATTCAGCTTTGAAGGAATGCAATACATTTTTACTTGGTTGCCCATAGGGTATCTAAGTAGACTGGCTATTGCACACAAGCTCTGTTGACAAGATCTCAATCAGATCCAGGTGTCCCTAATGTTCCCAGGGTATGGTACTACATTGATGACATTCGCAGATTAAGGTAGTTACTAGACACTGACACAGGGCATACAAACACTTACCACTGCTCTTACTGAGAGGGTATTGGCTATTACCCCACACGAGATTCAGGGGCCTGTCACCTCAGTCAAATTCTTAGGCCTTACCTGGTCTGCTGAGGGCAGCTCCATTCCAAATGTAGTTAAAAGGCAACTTCTAACTTTATCAGCCCCAACCACTCTCAACCAAGCCCAGCACCTATTAGGTTTCTTTGGCTTCTGGAGGCAATATATTCCTGTTTACAAATATTGCTAAAACTTATTTATGCTTTCACCTTTAAACCACTGTGAATGGGGGCCCTTTTAGACAAAAAGCCCTAGAGTCAGTCCAGGTGACCAGATAACATTGCTTCCTTTACTGCCTCCTAAAGATTCCTTCATGGTGGAAGCTCTGGTAACATGTTATGCTTCTTAAAGTCTAGACCACCCACAATGGCTATAAATTGCCCATGAGTTTCTGGTGCAAAAAGCTGCATACTTCAGCTTTTCATGATACATGCCATTAGAGCTACTGCTGATGGCAGCATACTGGGGCTCCTGGAAATGGAGGCTGTCACAGGATCCGACCCTGTGACTCTTAATACCCAATTACCTATTATGCTCTGGGTCATGGAAACAGTACCTTGCAAGGTTGGCATGGCCACTAAGAACTTGCTGAAATTGAAGGGGCATTTATGGGATAGCATCAAACCTAGGTTCTCTCACATATTCTTCCTATAGGAGAAAGTAACCTCTGTCCTCAATTACTTGCCAGATTCCACCATACTAGAAGAGGTCATCCCTCTCCCAGACCCCTTGGTTACCTGAGGAGCCCCTTGGGATCAACTGAGTGAACAGCAATGGAGTTCATTTATATTTTATGGATGATAGCACCATCATTTCACATGATGGAGCTTGCTGGAGGGCTGTGGATTTTATGTCTTAACCAAAACATTTCTGATAAAGGATGGGACCTAAGGGTCAGCACTATTGGCTGTACTCTTGGCATTGGAGGATGTCCTGGTCAACAATCTTGGACCAATAGTCTAGCCATTTAATACAGCCAAGAGCAATGATAGTTTTTCATTCAAGGCCTACCCCTTTGGTGTAATAAAAAACTTTGGGTAAATCCTTGCCTTTTAGATATCATCAAATATACAAATTAGGGTTACATGTGTATCTGCTCATGCCAAGGCTCAAGTTGCTTAGGTCCAATTTAATGCTCAAGTTGATAAGCACAAATTTTAGTGACTCAGGCCAAAACTTCCTCACATGACACTCCAGATACCACTTCGCTGGTTCAGTGGGCCCGTGGAATATCAGAGCATAGAGGAGCATCTGCCCTTAATGCTTGGGATAAATGCATAGGTTTTTCCTATGTTCTGTCATGACCAATGTGGTGACAAGTCAATGCACTCTGTGGAAAGACCTGTTACTGGCAATATAATTGCTGGGGTGCCATCCCATAGCTCTTGTAGTCAGTGGCAAATAGATTTTATCAAACCACTGCCCTTCTTATGCTTTGACCATGATGCACACCTACACCGACTCTTACATGACCATTCCACTTAGACATTCAAGTGCATAACTCCTGTATGTGGACTAAAACACTTCATTCCCTTTGGAGTTCCAGACATTATCCACCAAGGTACTCAAATACACAGCCTTGGCCTCTTGAACAAGGCATTCAATGTAACTTGCATCTTTCCTCAGCCCAAAGCTGCCAATCTTTTAAAACACCACACTGGCTTACTAAAAAACCCTTAACTGAAATTACAAAGTCATTGGCCTTCTAAATGAGTCTCCCTCCTGCCAGTGGCCCTCATTAAATTAAATTCCTGGCCCCTGAAACTTTCTGTATCAAAATGCACTGATAACACCTCAGTTGCCTTTTCTTGCCTTCTGTGGTGACACTCACAAATCCAGGTTTATGAAGATCACATTAAACTAGCAATGTCTCCCTTCTCTCTTCTATCACTTAAAAAAAAAAAAAAAATTATATATATCTTGATTTCAGGGAGAGGGAGATAGAAAAATCAGTGATGAGAGTCATTGATTGTCTGCCTCCTGCATGCTCCTGACGGGATCGAGCCTGCAACCCGGGCATGTGCCCTGACTGGGAATAGAACCTTGATCTCCTGGATCCTAGGTCGATGCTCAACCACTGAGCCACATCTGGCTGGGCTCTTCTATCACTTTTGAGTCTTGCCTCATCCCAGTTTTGATGGAAGTCAGACCTAGGACAAATTTTTAATTATAATTCATTTACTATTACTAGCAATCCACTAGAGCTATTCAGGTACCCTGATAATGGTGATTTACCTAAGCCATGAGCTTTGCGAAAATTTTCAACCTAGGAAGAATACTTAACTGATAATGTCAATGATGAGTTCAGGTAGAAGAGAGCATTGTCTCAGGGCCCCCACCCACAATGGTGTGGAGAGCAGAAAGGCCAAAGATTAAAATTGCTCTGTATTAATCATATTTTCTAGTGTTTTTGTTTGTTTTTTAAATCTGATGATTTGAGGTCTGGGACCTTGCTGACTAAAGAGGGACTGCCCCTCCCAGAGTTAGATTCCTAAAGTTAGCAAATGACTCTCCTGAAAGTGCACCTTTCATATGTAATCTACTCAATCCAGAGTCCTTATCTCTCAACTGCCACCTTTTATCAGGCGCTTATACTTTGGCAATTATTCCCCTGCCCTAATTACCCAAGGGGCAGGTATCAGACAAATAGGTATAGCACCTACACCTGGAGCCCACTGAAATTATTCAAAGTAGCCAGTCCTAAAACCTTGCTTAGCATGCCTTGCTCATTCCTTCCTGTATAAGCCACAGTAAAGGCTTTCCTCTCTCCCCCTATGACTGAACTTAGTGTTCTTTCACGTGTCCTTGTGTTATATGGCGTGTGCCCCTTCACTTGGGAACTATGAATAATAAACTGTTAATGTAAGAAGCATCCAAACCTTGATTGGATAGGCTCATTTCTAATGTTTCTACTTAAATGGTTGACTTGATCTGAGTCACACACCTAATACTTCAGGTATGTGCCCTGACTGGGAATTGAACCTGCAGGCTTTTCCGTGTACACAATGATGCTCCAGCCAACTGAGTTACCCAACGGGGCAGAACCAGGTCTATGCTGCATTAATTTTTTGTGTAGTCTTTTTGCTATTTCATTCAAGCTAAATATCACTAAACTTCTATATCTGATTTTCCTCATCATCCATTGTTCTTTTATGCTCTGAAATTATCTGCAATACTAGGACTGACAAGCATGTTTCCATTTATTATCCACTGGTAATTGCTAACCCTTTCTAAGGGTCAGAGGGCTTGTTAAACATTTTTTGCCAGATACTTAAGCTCCCAACCACTTTCCTGCTTACTTAGATTTGGTTTACAGTTCCATTCATTTGGGGGGGAAAAACCTCCTGATTATTTTAATCTACAAAATTTTATTACACGCAATAACTGTATGTAGAGTAAATATGGGTTAAAATTAACCTCCTCAGGAAGGGCATTTAGTAACATTATGCCAATTGCTGCCAAGCTTACTATTTTCACAAAAAAGATGCAGAGATGCTGTTGTCTTAGCAGATTTCTAATTCTTTAACATCAATACCTCTTCAGTGAGTTTTCATTTGGAATTTCCAGAGACTCACATGTTCTGTAAGATAGATCAAGCTATAAAAGGCTTATTTTATATATTGCATATCATATATATAGACTAACTTATACATATTTCTCATGTGTGTCTACTGTGACAACTATACTTCCAAATTTTACTCACCTATCTTTATCTCCCTGTCTTTACTATGAACTCCTTGATGTTGGATAAGGTGTAAACTATGCCTAAAATTACCCATATAATTATGACAACTATACGATTCCTTCTAATAGTATTGTGTAAGGTTCTTTCTACATTAATGACATTCATATATTCATGACTAACAACATTCTCACAATCATAACATAAGGATTTGTTTCAGTAGGAATTCTCCAGTTGAATGATTGTGAAAGAACTTTCTCCACACTGATTACAATGAGAGCTATTACTCCTCAAAGTGAATCATTTCATGTTGAGAAATGTCTGAGAGATGTACCTTTCTCCACTCTGATTACAATGAGAGCTATTACTCCTCAAAGTAAATCACTTCATGTTGAGAAATGTCTGAGAGATGTTTGGTAGTATCTACCATAAGCTGAAAAAGCTTACATACATCCTTGGGTGGAGTAATTCCAGTTTTAGTATAAAATCAACAGAAATACATACACACACACACAAAGGAATATACCAGAATATTTGTGGCAGTATTTTTATTACAACACAAAATTATAAAAAATACAAATAACCATCAAGAGGATAAACAGTGGTATATTCTTAAAGTGGAATACTATACAAAATGAATATGAAAACACTACTGCTACATACAATAATGTGCAACTCTTCAGAATGTTGAGTGAAAAGGGACACAAAAGAATTCATGATGTATGATAAAAATATGTAAAGACATGCAAAAACTACTTCATGATGTTATACGCCAGGGAAGTGATAATCTTTGGGGAAGTAACAACTACTTTTTATTCACTGAATGCAATGAGGAATATAGTTCATATTTCATTTCTCTTATGGAGACTAATGCTTATAGTCATTTTAAAACCTTCCCTCTCCATGTATAAGTTTTTAGAAAGTAAACTGAGTCATAACTTGAAAACAAAAATTTAGATTCATTGCTGACAGAGTTCAGTAACAACGATGACACTCATATTTATGCTAGTAAGCAGTAAAACAGTTATGCTGTATGGTACTTTAAATTAATAACCATTATTACATTTGTGATTAAAATTACATTAGCATGCTTTAAAAAAAGCTAAAGTTTTACAATAACTTGGGAAGGAAGGCTTACCAAAGAAATCACATCTTATTGCATTTTCATTTTTTCTCCTTTGTGAGTTCTCTCATGGACAATGAGGTTTCTCTTATAACTGAAGGACTTACTACACTCATTACAAATATAGGGTTTCTCCCCCGTGTGAGTTCTCTGATGTACAATGAGATTTGTTTTCTGGCGGAAGCACTTCCCACATTCATTACATTTGTATGGTTTTTCTCCTGTATGAGTTCTTTGATGATGAATGAGATATGACTTCCTGCTAAAGGCTTTCCCACACTGAGAACATTCATAGGATTTCTGACCTGTATGTATTTTCTGATGTACAGTGAGGGTTGCTTTCTGGCGAAAGGATTTTCCACATTCATTACAAATATAGGGTTTTTCCCCTGTATGAATTCTCTGATGTAGATTAAGATTTGTCTTCTGACTGAACGATTTTCCACATTCATTACATTCATATGGTTTCTCTCCTGTGTGAGTTCTGTGATGATCAATGAGGTATGACTTCATTCTAAAGGCCTTCCCACAGTGAGGGCATTCATAAGATTTTTCACCAGTATGTGTTCTCTGATGTGCTACAAGGGTTGTCTTCTGGCGGAAGGACTTTCCACATTCATTACAAATATAGGGTTTCTCCTTATTATGAGTTTTCTCATGAAGAGCAAGGGTTGTTTTCTGGGAGAAGGATTTCCCACATTCATTACAAATATAAGGCTTTTCCCCTGTATGAGTTCTCTGATGTACAGTAAGGTTTGCCTTCTGGTGAAAGGACTTCCCACATTCTATACAAATATAGGGCTTCTCTCCTGTATGAATTCTCTGATGTAGAGAGAGAGTTGTCTTTTGGCGGAAAGACTTCCCACAGTCATTACACTCATATGGTTTCTCTCCTGTATGAGTTCTCTGATGACGAATGAGGTGTGACTTCAATCTGAAGGCATTCCTACACTGTGGACACTCATATGATTTCTCCCCTGTATGTGTTCTCTGATGATCAGTGAGGGCTGTCTTTAAACGGAAGGACTTACCACATTCATTACAAACAAAGGGTTTCTCTCCTGTGTGAGTTCTCTGATGATCAGTGAGATATGATTTCCTTCTAAATGAATTTCCACATTGATGACATTGATAGGGTTTTTCCTCTGTGTGAATTCCCTGATGCAGAATCAGTACTGACTTCCTGCAGAAGGACTTCCCACATTCAGGGCAAATATGTTTTTTTTCAATATTGGTTGTTCTTCTCCTTTTATTATATTCAGATGGGTTTTCATTTATGTATGCTCTATGATATGTAAATAAGCCTCCTTTTTTAAGCAATAATTTCTCACAGTCATTATACCCAAATGACTGTGCTGGAGTTTCCATCTTATGATACTGCATAAGCACTTCATTATGACTGATAGCCCTACCATTTTGATTATGGGGTTTGACTCCATGGTGAGCTGTCTCTGGTTTAGCACTGAAGAGTGATTTCTCATATCCATTATACTCACTATGCCTCTTTCTTGCAGAACTTAGATTACTAATGATTAATTCTGACACATTTTTAAAAATCTTTCCATCATGGTCATATTCAGGAATTATATTTTTTGAATTTATAGGGGTTTTGCTTAAAGTAAATGTCTTGTCATACACATTATTGTTCTCCTTAATCAGTTTTTTGTGACTGATGAATACAACTGATCTAGAATACTTATCTTGGCATTCCTTGAATTTCACTAAAAAGTCTTCGGCTTTCCAATTTTTTTCTAGAAAAGAATATAATTAATAACAACTTGTGAATATTCACACATTTGCTATGAAAAGGAACTGAACCAGCATCTATTAAATGAGGCAAAAGAAGACCTCAGACAAATTACTCCCTGCATGGGGCACAAATGTGAAATAAAATATCTGCTTCAGTGTGGAAAAGAATAAAAAAATAAGCAATGAATACTAATAACTTTTCCACTTTGCAACAGAGCTTAATACATAAAGTTGACTAAACGAGAAGCAGTGAAGAGAAGACAAAAATGGCAGAAGAGGGATTGATGTTTTGATAGGTAGATTCAGAGGCAATAAAGTGAAACCATCAAGGGCATTAAGCTTTAAGTAGGATGGACAGGATTAGTAGAAAAGCTTATTCAGGGAAAATATTAGAGAAAGGATTACTTCTGGAGGACATAGATGAGAGCTAGATTGCAAGGTAAAACACTTCCAGTTGTTCCACCACCCCCATCCTCATAGCCATCAATGGTTAAGTAATAATTCCAGCATCAATTAATTTCTTAGTGTTTAGAAAAACTACTCTATTAGTCTAGGTCTAATACTCCATATAGCTGGGAATCATTTTCTCTTCTGACAAAACACTAGGAAAACACAAAAAGAAATTTAAAACAGACTAGAGGTATATTCACTGGTGTATTCAGATTGCTGTTACTATCAATTCTTTCAGAATTGTTCAATAAAAAAACCTCTCATGACCATCAGTTATAACTATTCCTCTTTTCAATTGCTGACTTATTTTTTCAGGTTTAAAGAAAGGCTTTTCAGGTCTCTCCCAATACAGTAACATTCCCCAACTCCAGATGAGACTGTTCATTCTGGTTCTAGATCATTCTTTAACTTTAACCTTCATTTCTCTTAAAAGTTTAGAGCTATATTTGACTTCTGTTATTTTGTAATCATCCAAATCTAGTGGAACAATGCTAAATCTAGGCTCAAAAATATTCTTCTGCCTTGAGTCCATTACCACCAATACTAACATACAAGGAATTTATCCTGTAAACAAAACTTTACATCCCCCTAGAATCACTGTTTACATTCAAACATGTTTTAAGGGTTGTCCCCATATATGACAAATCTCAGCCATAAAAAGTTTACATTAATACTATGTATATAAGTAGTGTTTGGTAGAAACCAAACATTTCAATCAGAATGTATACAGCCATGGCCTAAGTAGGTATATCTGAAAGGAACTTATAAGTACATGCTTTCTGAACGATGGAAACAAGGTATCTCTCCTGTATAGCTCCACAAACAATTCATGAAGCAACTACTAAATACCTAACAAGTACATACTACAGCAAAGACTAAAACAGGGGATCTTATCTTTGAGGGAAAGAATTCTTAAGCATAAACCATGTACAATCAGATATTACATTATATAATCACATCCAAGTACTGTGTATGTTATAATTTGTAAATAGCAAGGGAATTAACAGAAAACAAAACAAAACAGTGGATATGATGAGGAAGGAGTAGTCAAACAATAGTTCATGGAGAAGAAATCTCAAGACTTAACCATAAGATATACAGTTTATGTAAGGGAAAACACAACACAATGAAAAATAAAGATATGACAAATCCTACATTTTTGGAGAAAAGTTAAAAGACTGGATCAAGTGGAAATTAGCAAGAGTTTCCCACAAGAGAGAGAAATAAATTTGAAAAGACCAGATTAAAACTTACTATGTTAGTCCTTGAATAATTTCAATTTCACATAAAAAATAAATAACAGGTAACAATTAATAGATATATCTTGTCAGAATAGTAACAATATAAATTTTAAAAACTGGGAAAAAATTATAGCAAAACTAAGCTGCAATTACAATAATCAAGACAAAAAATAAGATAGCTGTTATTTTATATAATGTCAGTGAGAAATGTCAATATGGGAGGAAGTAAATATATTTCACAGGCTGATAAACATAACACAAGTTGTGAAGAGAACCATAAGAAATGATGACAGAGAAAAATTAAGCTGGTATCAGGCAGGAAAAAAAACAAGTTAGAAACAGATAAAAGAATTTAAGAGCTAGGAAAGTTAGTCATTTTCACATCCAACATATTGTCACAAAATAGATTGCAGAACTCCTGAAAGACTAGAGTGAAGGTGAGAGAAGTACGCTGAGTACATCCACTTAAAGGCATTGACAAAAAATAAAGAGTTTAAGTCCTGAGAATGGATGAGTTTATTATAATTCAAAAGCTTATCCCTTGAGGACAAATCAGACAAATAAGACTGAGAGTCCAGTGAAACAATATATGTTAAAAGAAAAAAAAATCTGTGTGACTACTACATGCCAGGCACTGTTTCAGGCAATCTGGCCACAATGGTGAAGAAAATAGACCAAGTTGGAAATAATCACTTAGAAAATCATGGTTAAGAATGAATTAGTAAAAAAAAAAAAAAAGAATGAATTAGTGTTTTATCCAAACCAAGGGTTGACTTAAAGAATGATGATCAGCCATATGAAATGAAATGAAGCACAACATTTAATGGAGGAAAATGCTAACTGTGAAATATTCAGTCTAGACCAAGCCATGGGAGTTTTAAAATTAATAGATACATTTATGGTGAGAATGGGAACTTAGACTTGGCACACAAAAAAAGTCTGAGGTAACAAAAGGAAAATGGAAAGCAACTGAGAAGAGAAGCATTGACCAAGAATTTTCTCTTTTTTAAAGATAGATTTAAGAATTCCTAAAAGAAATCTATACAATGGCAATGAGAGGATTGAGAATGCTAGAAAATGACAAAAAACGAGAAAAGAAATCTAAAAGAAGGAAGTCTTATAGTACATTTTGATTAAGTCAGAAGTGGCAACTATCTTTGATAACATCAAACAAACTAGGAAAGAATATTATATAGAGAGTGATATTAGAAAGTTTGCTTTAAGTTTACAGGCACAATGGTCATTTCAAAGGTTAAGAGCCTTTAAAAAGAAACTGCCAAAATATTTTCAAGTTGTCACCAACCCCATAACCACTTAAAAATTTATTTTCTACTAGTTTCATCTGCCTGAGAGTCTGAAACTCACCTAAGCAGGTGTGACCTGTCAATGATGTCCATGGCTCTTCTCCTCGTTCCAACTTCAGGATCACATCAGGCTTGGTCATGTGACACCCTGATAAGGAAAGATTTGGATTAAATTGCTTAGGGCATAGTATACTTGAAAAAACTAGTAAGGTGCATTTTCAGTACTGCATATTAAAATACACCTTTGCAGAACAGTAAACTTAGCACCTTGTACTGGGCAAGTGAAAGATACAATCATTCTTTCTGCTAACCCAAAAGGATTAATCACCTGTTATCCCTGAAATTCAAGATCACATATACTTTAGGCATTTTGAAAGAAAATACATGCTACTGGAAAAGTTTCAGAGGTTTTCTTACCCACAGAAATGAGGTGGCAATAGTTTTCCAACATTACATCCATGTATAGAGTCTTCTGAGCAGGATCCAGGTGCTGCCATTCCTCCTGTGTGAAGTCCACAGTCACATCATTGAATGACACTAACCCCTGCAATGGATAGGAACTGTGATCACAACAAGTTGACTAGATATTAGGGACTAGTTTTGATGCTGTTTCTTTGTGGCATTCATAAGAAAACTTGTAAAGAAAGCCTATAATTTTTTTTTGTTTTGTGATTTACATTGTGAGGAAAACAAAATCAAAGTACAAGTACCTACCACCAAATTTATTCAATAACTCATTCTAAAACTATTTACTGTGAAGTCACTGTGTATCCCAAAACTGCATTCGTTCGCTGGGATGCCAGGACATACAAAACTCTGACCCTGCTTCCAAGAAGTTACAGCCTCAAAACCTGTAACACGTACCTTCAAGAAAGTATGTAAACACAAACCTGCAAGATATCACAGGTAAGTACAACAGAAGTATGTACAAGATGCAGTATGTCATAACAGCAGAACAATTTTCTCAGCTTTCACTGAGGAGGTCAATTTTTTTCCCTTCAAGATTACTTGATGTGCAAGAAGAATATGGTTTTAAAACACAATGGAGTGACTTTTGGCAGGAAGTGATCACAAAGTGATCAGGAAAACAATCTCCCAGTTAATCATTATAAAATCTGAATACAATACATATTAACCAACTAATAGATGGCACTGAAAAGCAACCAAAACAAGCAGAAATATCCTTAAAAAAGACAGCAAGTGCAATGGGTAAGACTGTTGTTTGTGGCTTTTTAAAAAAAATATATATCTTTATTGATTTCAGAGAGAGGAAGAGAGAGGGGGAGAGAGAGAGATAGAAACATCAATGATGAGAGAGTCACTGATTGGCTGCCTCCTGCAGGCCCCTGACTGGGGGTCAAGCCCGTAACCTGGGCATGTGCCCTGACCGGGAACTGAACCGTGATCTCCTGGATCCTAGGTCGATGCTCAACCACTGAGCGATGCCCAGCTGGGCGTTTGTGGCTTTTTTGCATGAAGTGCTATACCCTAAACCCCATAGCTCTTCAAATAGAAAACCACAGAGAACTTCCTCAAAGGTGGTATAGGACAGAATTGGATGGCAGAGGAGTTGGATATTAAGGGATAAATTCTGAAAGAGAACTGTAGAATAGATGAGACCTAAAATCTGAGTGTAAACTATGCCAGAACTCCAGACTGAGAGTTAAATTACGCAATTGTTGGAGAAATCATAGAGGGCTTAGGAAAAAGCAGACAGAAAGATACCAGAAAAGTTTTAAAAAATAAAAGTGCTCCTAATGAGATTGAGATTTCTGCAGTTTTGATTACCAGCATTCCACAAACTGCTGCTAGCTCAAGCAGAAGAAAACTGAAGCCTTACACACTCAGGTGTCAGAAATTGGGGCTGACAAAATAGCAGGATATTATAAAGGGTAAAACCCTGGGAAAAAGTGAACGGTAGAGAGTAAGCCCCCAAATCTATGTATAAGCACTCAACAATTCCTTGCCTGAGAGCTAAAGACCATGAGTAGCTACCTGCCCTCAGGGGCCAGGGTAAAAAGCAGTAGCTGGAGGTTAAAGAACTAAGTGATGTATCAGCTGTTTCATACTTGAAGGGGAAATGGGGGGGGGAGCAACAGGGCAGAACATGAAGCTTGAATCCAACTAAGTGAACTGCCTACTAGAAAAAAGACCAATAATCATTAGAACAATAAACATAACAGATTTTGAATTACTATAACTAATTATTCATGAAGTCCAAGTTTCTAGCAAAAATTACTAGACATGCAAAGAAAACAAAAAAAAAAACACAAAAAAAGGAGGGGGAATATGATCCATATTCAGAAAAAGAGAGTCAGAGTAACTAAGTAATTAGTGCCCCAAAAGGCTTCAAAGCATCTGTTCTAAATGCTTCAAAGAAGTAATGGAAAACTTGGCATGGAGTACCAGAATGTCAGCTATAAAAAAGTACCAAATGAAAATTCTAGAGCTAAAAGTACAATAACTGATATGAAAATTCACTACACAGACTCACTAGCAGACCAGAAATAGAAAAAAGAACCAGCAACCTTGTAAACAGATCAATAGAAACTGAGCAATCTGAATAGAAAGAATAAATAAGGAAAAAAGAAGAGAATTACAGAGATCTGTGGGCCAATTTCAAAATAACCCAGCACAGACATAAGCTGTGTGCCAGAAAGAGAAAAAATAAGTTTGAAAAAAAAATTTAGGGTAATAATGGCCTAACACATTCAGAGTTAGAAAAAACTTTAACTTACATACCAAAAATGTATGACTCTCAAAAGGATAAAAACCAAAGAAAACCACACCCTGGAAAACCCTAATCAAACTGTTAAAAGTCAAAGATAACGTTAACCAAGAATATTTTCAGCAAAATTACCTATTAAAAATAAAGACAACATAAAGCTATTTTCAGATAAAATCAGAGAATTCATCACTAGCAATACTGAACCACCAAAAACAGTAAAGGAAGTTCTTCAGGTTGAAGGTAAAAATGCCACCCAATGATAACTAAAATCTTTAGGAAGGAATGAAGAGGCTGAGTAAATTTATATATAAAAGACTATAAATATTAATTTCCTTCCTTCCTTTAAAAGGCATGACTATGTCAAGCAGGTGCTGGTGAAAATTTTCTGCTGTTTTAGCATGAAAGCAACCATAACAGTATGTAAAATGAATGAGCAAAGTTGTGTTTCAACAAAATCTCATGTATGGACACTGAAATCTGAACTTCACAAAACTTTCATAGATCAGAAATATTTTACTTTTGCATTCTTCAAACATTTAAACTATAAAAACCATTCACAACTCACAGTTTGTACAAAAGCCGACATCAGTTTGGATTTGGTCTCTGGGTTGTAGGCCACTGAGTTAAAGTAAATGTTCCAAAATCAATTACTTACAAACATAAATATCCCATACAGGGCAAAACCAAAACAGACCCCAAAAACAAATGATGGGGAGGTCAGGAAACAGATCTATAATATTTTAAGATTGATGTCTATTCCTTAAGTAATTCAATATTATCTCTAAGTAAATCATAAGAAGTTAAAAGATGCATGTTGTAATCCCTAATGCAATAAAATAATGATACAAATAGAGATAACTAAAATGTCAATAGATGAATGAAAAGATATTATTAAAATGTATTTGATTGACACAAAATAAAACAGGATTAGGAAGAGATGAACAAAAACAGGTTAGAAGGATCCTTAATGAATATTATGAAGTGTACGACACCAATCAAAGGCTAGATACTTTTATGATTCCAACTATACAACATTCTGGAAAAGGCAAACTTATGGAGACAGTAAAAAGATCAGAGGATGCCAGAGATTAGGGGACAGGAAGGAATGAATGGGGAGAGCACAGAAGATTTTTAGGGCAGTAAAACTATTCTGTATAATAGTGTAATGATGGATATATGTCATCATACATTTCTCAAAATCCACAGAACACCCAACACCAAGAATGAACACTAATGTAAACTATGAACTTTGGGGGAGAATGACGTGTCAATGTAGGTTCTTTGACTGTAACGAAGGTACTACTCTGGCACAAGATGTTGATATTGGGGGAGGTTATGTATGTGTGGGGTTATGTGTATGTGAGACTCTCTATTTTCTACTCATTTGTCCTGTGAACCTAAAACTGTCCTATAATATAAAGTCTAGTTAAATGGATTAAAAAAGAACAATTAGGAAAACAGAAAAAAAAAAAAACCACCCAAAATGGCAGCCCTAAATCCACTATAACTTCAATTGTATTAAATGTAAATGTACTAAACACTCCAATAAAAAGGCCAAAATTATTAGAATGTATAAAAAGCAACATTCAAATATGTTCAGTCTACAAGAGACATACTTTAAATAACACAGACACAAATATAGTGAAAGAAAAAGGATGGAATATAAACACTAACCATGGAAAAGCTGATTTGGCTACAGTAAAAGCAAAAAACACATGTCAAATGAAAGAGTATTACTACTACGAAGAGGAACATTTTATAATGATAAAAGAGTAGATACACCAGTAAAATATAACAATTACAAATGTATATGTACATGAACAGTTTCAAAATACATAAAACAAGATTTGACTTTGGGTGGTGGACACACAGTGCAATATACTGATCTTATAACATGGAAACCCACACCTGAAACCTATATGATCATATTAACCAATGTCACCTCAATAAATTAAAAAACAACAACAAAAAACCAAAATACATGAAGCAAAAGTTGGCAAAAGTAAAATGAGACTTTAAAAAGTCCTAAATGAGATTCCAAGATGGCTGCAGAGTAGCTAGAAACAGCGTCCACTTATTCCCAGGCCCATACTGAATTTATAGCCAAATTACAGAGCAATTAACTTGAAAAACCAAGTGAAGTATAGCTGATCTGAAATATTATATATAACCAAGGAGTATGGAAAAAGCCCCAGAGACTGTTAAAATGGGCAGAGATGTGGAGGGGGAGAGTGCCCTCAAGCAGGTGTGGGGGTGGCTGAGAAGCTGGAGGGATATGGCTACAAAGCTTCCTCTCCCTAAAAGCGTGGGGTCTCAACCCTTCTAAGGGATCCCCAACCCAGAGCAACAGACTTAAAGAGGAGCCCGCATAGCATTGGTGGTGAAAAATCAGTGGGGATTCTGTCTGCCTGGGAGTCTGGGAAAAAACGCTGCCTCGGGGGGCAGCCCACGTCTCATACATGGTGATAGAGGTTTACCCTTATATTCACCCAGCCTGAAGGGTTAACTCCACCCACAAAAGGGTCAGCAGCAATCAAGCCTCAACTACAACAGGGGGTACATACACATAACCCACAAGAGAAACTGCTGGAGCATGGAGCTCAGGTGATATGGAAGATGATGCCACTGAGTCCAATAAGACATCTCAGCAGCTTGCACACATGGTGGAGGTTGAGTTTCACAGTCAACCAGATGACTATTGATCCCACCCTTGAATGGGCCAATAGCCGTAAAGACACAATTATACCAGGAGAGCCCAAATAACCCACACAAGGGCCATTCCTAGAGTACCCAGCTAAGGAGATCAAGGAGACCACTCTACTGGGTCCCAAGGGACACCTATTACATACTGCCGCCTGAAGAAGTCTGGGAAACAGAGCAGTTCTATCTAATACATAGAAACAAACACAAAGAGACAGTCAAAATAGAAAGACAAAGAAACAGGCCCTAAATGAAAGAACAGGCGGAATCTCCAGAAAAATAGGTAAATGAAAGGGAGGTAAACAATATGTCAGAAATAGAGTTCAAAGTATTGTTTATAATGATACTGAAAGAACTTAGTGAGAACTACAACAGCATGAAAAGAGACAAAGAAACCATAAAAAATAACCAGTCGGAAATGAAGAATAACATATCTGACATAAAAAATACACTGGAAGCCCCACCTGGTGTGGCTCAGTGGTTGAGCATCGACCTATGATCCAGGAGATTGAGGTTCAATTCCCACTCAGGGCATATGCCTGGGTTTTGGGCTCGATACCCAGTCGGGGGCGTGCAGGAGGCAGCTGATCAATGATGACTTTCTAATCATTGATGTTTCTATCTTTCTCTCTCCCTCTCCCTTCCTCTCTCTGAAATCAATAGATATATATAAAAAATAAATAAAAATAATAAAAAAATAAAATGTATAAAAAAACAACCAAAAAAAAAAAAAACCCCAAAAGGGAACCCATTGTATGGGAGAACATGTTCACCAATGATTCATCTGATAAGGGGTTAATCTCCAACTTTTATAACTTAAAGAAGTTATAAAAATGAAAACCAGAAAGACAAACATTCCAATTAATGGGCGAAGGACCTGAACAGACACTTCTCCAAAGAGGACATAAAGATAGCCAATAGACATAAAAAAAAATGCTCAAGGTCACTAATCATCAGGGAGATGCAAATTAAAACTAAAATGAGCTATCACTTCACACCTGTCAGAATGGCTACTATCATAAATCAACAAACAAGTGTTGGCAAGGATGTGGAGAAAAGGGAACCCTAGTGCAGTGTTGGTGGGAATGCAGACAGAAGCAGCTACTTTGGAAAACAATGTGGAGTTTCCTCGAAACATTAAAAAAGGAATTGCCTTTTGACCCAGCAATCCTACTTCTGGCTACATAGTCTAAGAATCCCAAATCAACAATCAGAAATACTATATGCACCCCTATGTTCACAGCAGCGTTATTTACAATAGTAAAGATCTGAAAAGAGCCCAAGTGCCCATCAGTACATGAATGGATAAAAACACTGGTACAGGCGGCCCAAGATGACTGCAGGGTAAGAGAAATCTTCTATCACTTGCTCCCAACACCAGACAGATATGAGGCTGAACTACTGGTCAACAGGTGTGAAAAACGATTTGAGGTGAAGCTGATATGAAATATTGTAAACAGGGAATGCAGAGAAAAGACAGAGGAGATGTGAAGAGGATGAGCCAACTCACACACGTGCGCGTGTAGGAAGCTGAAGAGATATTGTGACAGACTCTTGGGAGTGCTGGGTTTTAGCCCCACACAGGGATCCCCAATTCAGCAATATCTTAATTCCCAAACAAGACAAAAACACTACTCAAAAAGAAAGTTATAGGCCATTATCCCTGATGAACACAGATGCTAAAATCCTCAACAAAATATTAGCAAATCACATCCAGCAATATATTCAAAAGATCATACACCATGATGAAGTGGCATTTATTCTGAAAATGCTAGGTTGGTACAATATTCACAATACAATAAACGTGATACATCACATAAACAAAATGAAAGGTAAAAAATCACATGATCACCTCGATACATGCAAAAAAACCCCCGCACCCATATATGACAAAAACTCTCAGCAAAGTGGAAACAGAGAGACTATACTTCAACATAATAAAAGCCATACATGAAAAACCTACAGCCAACATCATACTCAATGGGCAAAAACTAAAAATGTTTTCCTTAAAATCATGAACAATACAGGGGTTTCTGCTTCCACTACTCTTGTTGAACATACTACTAGAAGTCCTAGCCACAGCAATCAGACAAGAAGAAATAAAAGGCATCCAAGTTGAAAAGGAGGAAGTGAAACGGTCATTATTCGCAGATGACATGATATTCCTAAAGACCGCACCAAAAAATATACTAGATCTAATAAATAAATTCGGCAAAGTAGCAAGATACAAAATTAATATTCAGAAATTGGTGGCATTTTTATCTACCAATAATGAACTATCAGAAAGAGAAACTAAGAAAACAATCCTATTTACTATTGCAACAAGAAAAATAACGTACCTAGAATAAATTTAACCAAGTGAATAACCTGTACTCGGAAAACTATAGGACAGTGAAGAAAGAAACTGAGGTGGATACAAACAAGTGGAAGAATATACTGTGCTCATGGATTCGATGAATTAACACCATTAAAATGTCCATACTACACAAAGTAATCTATAGATTCAAAGCAATTCCTATTAAAATACCAATGGCATGTTTAACAGATCTAGGACAAATATTCCATAAATTTGTGTGAAACAATAACAACAACAAAAACCTAAATAGCCTCAGCAAACTTGAAAATGAAGCACAAAGTTGGTGGGCTCACAATACCGGATATCAAATGATACCACAGGCCTTTGTAATAAAACAGGCTGGTACTGGAATAAGAATGGGTAGTTAGATCAATGGCACCAAACAGAGACCCCAGAAATCAACACATGGTTTTATGGTCAATTAATATTTGACAAAGGTGGCAAGAACATACAATGGAGTAAAGGCAGTCTCTTCAATAAATGGTACTGGAAAATTGGACAGAAGGCTGTAAAGAGAAGAGAACCAGCCTGGCCAGCATGGCTCAGTGGTTAAACATCAACCCATGAACCAGGAGGTCACCGTTCCATTTCGGGTAAGGGCACATGCCCAGGTTGTGGGCTCAATCCCCAGTAGGGGTTGTGCAGGAGGCACCCAGTCAATGACTCTCTCATCATTGATGTTTCCATCTCTTTCTCTCCCTCACCCTTCCTCTCTCTGAAACTAATAAAAACAAATTTAAAGAGAGAGAGAAGAGAATCAGGATAACACCACTATTTATGAGGTCCACATATAAAGATGAATGTTCTGAAAGAAAACACCAAGACAATTATCTTTGAAACCAAGAGCAGAATATTTCAAGAGTTATGATCCCAGTTCAGTAGGTGACCTAAGCATATACAATTACTTCTCCTGCATCTGCATATAAAATTAGAAGAAATTTGCCCTGGCCTGTTTGGTTCAGTGGTTACAGTGTCGGCCCAAAGACTGAAGGATCTGGGTTCGATTCTGGCCAAGGGTATGTGCCTTGGTTGCAGGCTTGATCCCTGCATGCAGGAGGCAACCGACTGATATGTCTTTCTCATATTGATGTCTCTCTTTCTCTCTCTCTCCCTTCCACTCTAAAAAGCAATGGGAAAAATATCCTTGGGTGAGGAGGGGGAAAAAAATACAAAGGTTCAAATATCCTTTAAAGAAAAAAAAGACTATTTGAGAAAGGAGAAACCATCACCTCACCTGAGCCATGGTTTTGAGACTTGCAAGAGATGACCAGTCCTCCTTTGGGATCCTCTTTGGAAAAGGGGTGGTTCCTAAGAAGGCAAAGCCAAGATGAAAAGATGCCAGCCCTGTAACGCCACACACATGCCTTACAGCTCTCTTATGACTCAAATTAAAATTGCTTCCATTTCCCTTGTTTTGGCCCTTGTCAACTCAGAACATCCCACATCAATAATATAGGGGGGAGACTAGCTAGACAAATCTTATTTTATCCCCAAAATCAGAGATACAGGTTCTTGGGGCAACAGGTTAAATTTTGGGAAAGTTCCCTTCCCCTCTAGCACCATCTTTTCTTGCCTAAGCAGCCTACTGATATTAACTACTTCCAAGCTGCTGTCCATTAAAGCTTTACCATTTATACTATAACCAGCAATATATGAGAATAGCCGTCACCCCTGATGAATATTACTGATATGAACTTCTTAATGCTTGCCTAATAGGTATAAATTGTGCTTCTAGTTTTTATTTTTCTTATTATGAGAGAAGATAAGATTCTTTTCGTAAGTTTAAAAACCATCTTTGGTTTTTTATCTTACAATTCTTTCGCTTTTCTATTAGGTTATTTTTATTTTCTAGATTGATATTAGATCCTTTTTAAAGGAAGAAAATTAATCCTGTATTTACTTAAAGTAATTTTTTATACTTTCTCACTTGACTTCATTTTCCCATGCAAAAATAACTTTAAAAAAAAAAAAAGACTGCGCCACCTGGTTATACAATAACCTGTATTTCCTCCACTCATCGAAACTGCCATCTTTTTTATTGCCTTTATGTATTTGACTAGATCTGGACTTTATATTTAGTTCCATTCATGTGTTTGTTATTGCCAAGATCACTCTGCAGTTATTACAGTTTTAAAACACATTTTAGTGCCACGTAGGGCTACTTCGCCCTTCATTACTTTTCTCTTTCAGAATTTCTGGCTTGTTCATTTTCTCTTAAGCACTTTAGAAAGTTCAAAAGTTCTACTGAAATTTTAATTGAACTGCATGAAATGTTTGGGAGTTTGGACATTTTATCATGTTGTGTCTTCCTGTCATTTTATCCATCTTATTTTTGAGTCCCTAAGGAATATTTTTTAAAAAATTGAACACCTCATGCAATCCTCTGTATCTCATATTTTTGATGGCCACTGGTTACTTTCATGTTTTCTGATATATATTTCTATATAGATACCTGTATCCATATATCTATATCTATGCAGATATATATACACATCCGTGCCTTGCTAATGTTTTTCCCCCCCAGCAAACCTCTGAGTTTTCTGTTGTAATTGTTCATTTTTAACATGGTGGTAACTTAGAAATCTTTCTCCCTCAATCTCAGCAGATGTTCCAAAGATGATGAGTAAAACAAGCTTCTAAGTATCCCTCATTCTAAAATACAGTCTTATAAAGCAGCTGACTGTAAAGTTTTTCTACCATTAATTTAACTCCAACTTCAAGAGGCTGGAGAGGCTGAGAGAAGGGAGTGTCTCTTTAAGGGAGTAAATTATTTTTAGAACATAGTTTTCCAGGGGGGAGAAAAGTGGGTCCTTCTCCCTTCCTCATAACATACAAGGGGCCCCTCACACTCTGATGTCACTGGAAACCAAAGTGATGAAAACTTGTGGGAGAATTATAAATGTTTCCAGGATTTAGGACGGTAAAGTGACTAAAGTGGCTAATTCTCACCTGAGCTCTAGATAAGGAACCCTTGCATGAAGCCTGCCTGGGTTGGCTTGGATCCTCCTGTCCAAGAGAACTGACTGAAGAGACAGTAAGACCCACCAGACCACATGGGCCACTATATCCAGAGAAAGTACTGGGGAGGCAGCTGAGAAAGTGGCTGTGCCCATGAAAAGAAAAGTGTATTTGGAAGTTCCCAGCAGCGGGTTCCCTTAGAAGGTAAGAGATGACTTACACTAAATTATAATGGTACCAGTCATGTTAGCCTCTTCCTGTCCCTGACTTCTCTTCCCTTTCCCAGCTCCCAATCCATTCTAGCTGGAGATCATCCACCTAGAGGGAGTAAAGAGGAGACAAAATAGAGGTTGAGGGAATAGAGAAGAAATTGCAGGCTTCCAGCAGGAGGGAGAGTTTTCTGCTTTTAAAACAAGTTTGAAGTATTGATTTCTGCAATGAATATTTTATTTAGCAAAATGACTATTATAAGATGGGACTAATCATGTTTAAATGTCCAACAGATTTTTTATTGTCTTCACAATGACCGAAGGAATTATTAAATCTGCGCAGGAATTCATCTAGCTGCAGCAGCAGCAGGACAAAAAATAAAAAATAAAAATCACCCAAACAGAAATTTGAGAGTGTCAGTTTTGGGTTCTACTCATTTCAACATATTGGACATTAGTCGATATGGGGTTTCCCAATATGTTATCCTGCCATCTGAAAATTATTTTAACTTTACTTCATCCTCTCATTTTAAAAATCTTTATTTTTTACTTGTCTAATTGCCACAGAATCAAATTCTGCAGGCATACAAAATAACCAATACTGGGATAATCTAAACAATACATATTTAAACTAATCATGCATCTAGTTCTCAGAAACTCCACCTCAGTTACACAACCAGCCACATTCATAGTCGCTGAGACCTGTGCATACAAAATACTTCAAAAATTACATGTACAGTTTGAGCACCCACTACACAATCCCAATCCCACCGACACGCGCCATGCATAATCTCACGGAGCCCATCACAATACTTCACAATGTAGCAAAATCTCATTCACAAACCCCTTACTGTCGCCTCTCCAAAGTCGCATATAGTCTCAAACACAAATCCACTCGCGTCTATTTTAAAAATTAGACACACACAGAGCCCCTGTCACTTTCACAACCAATCGGTGTCACAACGTCACACGGAGTAACACGTGCCCAAACACCCACAAGGGCAGGCAAAAAAAACTGCACAAAAAACTACACAAACGGAACGCCCGAGTGTGCCAGGCCGCGCTCGGAGAGGGTAGCGGGTGGGAAGAAACAACATTCCTGCCCTGGCCGAGCTCAGAGCCGCCCGGGCTTCCAGTGCCCTCTCCGGCCCTCTCCAGCCCGGGCCGCCGCCAGCCTCGGCTCCTGGTTCCTTCCTCCGCCTAGGTTCTCGCTCCCACTCTCGCTGTCTCCAAGGCCGGGTCTCGCGCTTTCCTCCCCGGCCTTCTCAGCCTGGGTTCCCTCTTCCTTCCCGGCTTTCCCCGGCCCAGGTTCCCGCCCCCTGCTCAGCATTACCCCAGGTGACACAACCATCACCCGCCTCCTCCGAGCCGCAGGACCCGCCGGCCGCCGTCGGACCACTAGCCAGCCGTCCGCGCCTGCGTACTCCGCGCCGGCTACCCGCCCAGGAGTCTGCGCGGCCTCCGCACGCCACCTGCACGTCGGCCCGTTCGGGCTTCGAACTACATTTCCCACCGGCCCCGCGATGCTTGGGAAAAGAACTTTGATCTCGGTTCGTTTCTGACTCCCCCCCAGAAGCCCTCCAATTCCTCGCGCTCCTAGTAGTAACTGGGAGTCTGGGCCGGGCCTGCGCTCCGGGTGAGGAAGCCCGCAGACCCCCTGGCGCAGTCAGGGCTGCGGACCCCGCAGCTCAGGCTTGTGAGCTGGGTGTAAGTGAGTGTAAGCATTTGTGTGTGCGCGCGGTGATGAGGCCGGGGAGGGCGCGTGATTGTTTTGTGTGTCTCTGTCCCCGAAGCTGGATTTTTTGAATGATGGTTGGCCGTCAGGAGTTTGAGAGCGGCTCTTGTAAGACAGTGCTGTCCTAACCTAGTGCCCTGCTTTTTAGGAATTTTGGTTGTGTCGCGAGGTGGAGCTTCATTTCTCCAGGTCTGGGTTTAACAGTTGGGACTGAGAGGTTCTGCTGCAGACCTTCCTGAGAGTATATCTGCCCCAGAAAATGAGGTGCCTGTGTCTTTTTTTAAACAATGTCCATGGTTTTGAGAGCACTCATTTTTTTTTTTTTTTAATATATCTTTATTGATTTCAGAGAGAGGAAAGGAGAGGGAGAGAGAGAGATAGAAACATCAATGATGAGAGAGTCATTGATCGAGCCCACAACCCGGGCATGTGCCCTGACCAGGAATCAAACCCCGATCGCCTGGATCCTAGGCCGACACTCAACCACTGAGCCACGCCCGGCCGGGCGAGGTGCCTGTGTTAACCAGAGTTGCCCTGCACTGAAGCCTGGCCTGAGCTGCCTTCCTCGTAGCGCCCCCACCTCCAGTGCCCAGCTTCCTGGTTAATGCGGAGGGGGGAGGGGGGCGTCAGTGGAATGTCCCCCGCCCAGGGGCCAATTTTAAGTTCCCTCCTTTGTTAGGATCTGTATTCCTGGGTTTCCTGTTGCTTCCTTTTCTCCCACTTCTCCCAGAGTAATAAGGTAATTAATGTTTTTCGTTTTAAGCCACAAACTTTTACTAACGGAAATAGGTGTTGAATTCTCTAGTGTTTTTTCTATCACCTTGTATTGATATATCGGTCAACCTGTTTTGTGAAGTGATTTTTGTGCTGATATTGTATCTTAAAAATCTTCCATATCCTTCATTATTTTCTACAACTTTGCATTTGTCTTAGCATTCTATTACAAGGATAATTTGTAATTTATTTTTACCAGTAACTTTCCTGGGTAACACTTTCAACTCCAATGTTTTCACCAAACTTTACATTCCCTTCCAGAACCTTATGGGGGACATGGGTTCCTGTCATTTCCCGGGTCTGTAGACTCCAGAGTGTGGCACTGACTTCAGCTGAGTGGAGTATAAGTGACTCACACCACTCAGAGGAATTTGTTCAAGGGTGTGTAATAGAGGAGCTATACACATTTATTTAATCAATTGGGTCTCCCTGATCACAATAATTCTCTTCCCTTTTCCAATTCAAAATCTGCATTCTGAAGCCATCTTACTTTTTTCACTGTGACTCATTGAGGAATGAGCTTCTTTAAGGTTGCTCTTTAACTTCCAAATGTTTGAGGACTTTTTCAGATCTTTCTGAGGATTCATTTTTAATTATTTTGTGGTCAGAGAACATACTCTATAATTTCAATCCTTCTAGATTTGTTGAGACTTGTTTTATGGCCCCAAATGTGAACTGTCTTGATGAATGCTCCCTGTGCACTTGAGAAATTAAAATGGGGTATTATACTGTTTTGGGTTAGAGTGTTTATCAGATCAACTTGTTTGTAGTGCTGATCAACTCTTACCTATCTTTACTGATTTATTTTTTTGTCACGGCCTATCAAGTATTGAGAACTGCTGAAACCTCCAAATATAATTGTGGATTCATCTATTACAGTTGTGTCAGTTTTTGCTTTATGAATTTTGCAGCTGTGCTATTAGGTGCATAGTTATTTAGGATTGCTGTATCTTCTTGATTAATAGACCCCTTTATCATGAAATGTTCCTTTTGGCAATATTCTTTTTCTTGGATTCTATTCTCTTTATTAATATAACTGCTTCTGCTTTCTTTTACTGTTATTTCATGGCGTATCTTTTTTCCATCCTTTTATTCTAAGCAATTTTAATGGTGTCTCATATAGTTTAGTGCCTTTTTTTTTTTTTTTTAAATCCAGTCAGACAATCTCTGCCTTCCAGTCTCTAGACCAAGGGTTGGCAAACTATGGCATGCTGGCCAAATCCACCTCACAGCCTGTTTTTGTATGGCCTTTAAGCTAAGAATGGTTTTCCATTTCTGAAGGTTTATAAACAAGCAAGAAGAATATGTAATAAGGACTGTATGTGACCTACAGAGCCTAATATTGTTATAGTCTTTAATCCATTTTGAAATTGTGTGTGTGTGGCGTGAGATAGTGGTCCAGTTTTATTCTTTTGCACGTGGCTGTCCAGTTTTTTCAGCACCGTTTATTGTAGAGACTGTCCTTTATCCATCATATTTTCTTGGGTGCTGTGTCATAAATTATTTGACTATATGTGTGTGGGTTTATTTCTTGGCACTCTATTCTGTTACACTGATCTTTGAGTCTGTTTTTATGCCAATACCATACTGTTCTGATTACTATAATTTTGTAATATAGTTTGAAATGAGGACTATGATTCCTCCAACTTTGTTATTCTTTTTCAAGATTCCTTTGGCTATTCAGGGTCTTTTGTGGTTCCATACATATTTTAGGATTGTGTGTTCTATTTCTGTGAAAAAGGCCATTGGAATTTTGATAAGGATACACTGAATCTGTAAATCTTTTGGGGTAGTGTTGGTACTTTAACAGTATTCTTGCAATCCACAAACACGAACTGTATTTCCATTTCTTTGTGTTGTCTTCAATATCTTTCATCAATGTCATATGTTTTCAGTGTACAGGTCTTTCACCTCCTTGGTTAAATAAAGATGGACTCTTGATGGGCTCTGGTAGCCATCTTGGAAAAACATAAAAGCCTGATCTATATCTCATCTACCATACAGGATAAACTTCAAATAAGTTGAGTCATTTAATTATTAATAATGCAACCATAGCATTTACTGGACTAAAACATGGGATAACTACTTCCTATCTTTGATGTGAGGAAGGCCTCTGTAACTAGGACTCAGAATCCAGAAAATGAAAAGAGAAAAGATTAACAAATTTGTCTAGATAAAAATAAAAAACTTTTGTGTGGCAAGAAACTTTGGTAAGCAAAGACAGAGAGAGATGACAAATGGGGGAAAGTATATAAAACTCATATACAGGCAAGGAATTTAATATTTCTCTAATTTATAAGGAATTCTTAAAAGTTAAAAAAATAAAGACCAACAGCCCAGTAGGAAAAGGGTCAAAGGAAATGAATGAAAGTTCACAGAAATAGAAAAGGCCCTTATAAAAAGAAAAATACTCAACAATAACTCAAGAAATTCCAATTAAAAGTCATACAATTTCTCCCTTATTAAATTGGTAAAAATAAAATGTTTTGACAAAATGCTTTGCTGGTTTGGCTATAAGCAAACAGATACTCTCATATATTGCTGGTGTCTAGTAAATGGGCCACCTGCTGTGGAAGACAATTTGATAAGCATCTACCAAAATTACAAATGCATTTTTCATCTTGACCCAGCAATCTGACTTCTGAGAATTCTGAGACAACATACCTGTATCTATATGAAATGATGTATTCTCAGGAATATTCATTGCATCATTGTTTGCTATAGCAAAAGATTGGAACCAACCATGTGTCCGTCTATACAGGTCTGCCTAAATAAACTATGATATATAAATAAATAAATAAGAGGATGATATGCAACTAAAGAAAAATAGGAAAGCCACTAGCCTTACAATTTAATTTAAAAAGTAAGTATAGGATGGTGTATATATTATATATGGTATGTTACCATTTGTGTAAAAATGTGGAAAATTATATATAGGCATATACTTGTATTTGCTTTAAAACACTGGAAAGACATACAAGAAACATAAAATTGCTCATCTGTAGAGGTTAAGAGATGGGACAAAAAAATGGACAGGAAGGGGTGGGAATAAGACATCTGAATGTATATCTTTTTAGGCCTGAATAGCTAAGATCTGGAAACAGCCCAAGTGCCCATCAGTAGATGAGTGGATAAAAAGGCTGTGGTACATTTATACCATGGAATACTATGCAGCTGTAAAAAAGAAGGATCTCTTACTCTTTGAGACAGCATGGAGGGAACTGGAGAGTATTATGCTAAGTAAAATAAGGCAGTCAGAGAAAGACAAGTATCACATGACCTCACTCATATGTGGAATCTAATGAACAAAATAAACTGATGAATGAAATAGATCCAGAGACATAGAAGCATGGAACAGACTGATGAATCTCAGAGGGAAGGTGGGGTTGCGTGAGTGGGTGGGAAGAGATTAATCAAAGAACTTATATGCATATATGCATAACCCATGGACACAGACAATAGTATGGAGAAGACCTGGTGTGGGGGAGCAGGGGCAGATGCCAGGTGGAGGGGATCAATGGGGGGGGGGAAGGGGACATCTGTAATACTTTCAACAATAAATATAATTTTCTTTAGAAAAGGAAAAGAAATTATAAAAATATAAACCTGTCATTAAGGTTGGTGATTTTCACTAGTCATGTTCAGCCACAAA